GAAAAAGTTGGCGCCTGAGTGGCCTCTGAAGGCAGCTTCGCCCACCTCGCCGCCTCCGCTGGCAGAGGAGGAGAAGAAGGAAGAGGAGGAGAAGGAGGAGGGAGGAGGTTTTCAGTTGCGCTGTGTTGTGGTTATATTGATTGTTTTCTTCGAAACCTTCGGAAGCCTCGAGAGGCCTGTGGGGGACCTCTGGAGGTCCCCGGTCCCTGGAGGCCGCCGAACCGATTAGCATACCAGCATTTTACGATGTCGGGTACGGTCGAGCCTGAGCTGAAACAATGCATGTGCTCGACTTGGACAAAGTGTTCTCGATCGCCACGCCTGCCGAGATACCGTGGTCCTCTATTGCTGCGTTCACTCCCTTCGCCCCTTCCTTGCAACGTTCCCCCATTAACGGCTCCTGATTATTTTCGGGCGTAGCCCGAAATTGGTTTCCGTGAGATGGACTGACTGATTGACTGGGCTGGTCGCGACCGTTAGCAGGAGTGTTGTTTTGGTCGGCCGCCAGATGCGCACCAAATGGAGCAACCAATAGCAGGTGTATTAATTTCGAACGCGGGGTGAGCAACCTCTGGCGAAACCAAGACCAGCACGAGTCATCCTCAACCATCCTAAGTTGTTAGGCCATCACTTTCGACTCCGCAACACCGCACCGCACCTCCCCCCATTTCCCACATTCCCCTCCTCTTCATTATATATAAGTAGCTTCACCTTCTGCATCAGAGGGCCAGTTCGCATGCCTCAGCGCGTGCAATCTGGGCCAACCCTCAGGCAGATCGTGCTTCATCTGGAACTCCACCCATGCCCTCAATGGGCTAGGCCAATTCGTATGCCGCGGCGCGTCCGTTTCGTGACACCCCTAACGCGGACCGTGCCCCATGGGGAGATCCACCGACGGCCGCAGCGGGTTGGTCCGCATGCATCGGCGCGCGCCAGTTCGGCACCCCTCACGCAGATTGCTCCCCATTTGCAACTCCACCGATGCCCTTAGTAGGCCAATTCGCATGCCGCGGCGTGCTCCTTTCGGCAAGCCCCACACGCGGATTATTTCCCATAGGGAGCTCCGCCTACGGCCTCAGAGGGAGAGTTCGCATGCCGAGGCACACCTCTCGAACGCTTCGCACCCCCATGGGGAGCTCCACCTACGGCCCCAGTGGGCGCGCGCATGCAGCCCCCGCACGTTTCGGCTCACCCTTGCACGAATCGTGCCGCACACGGCCCAAAAATCCATACACCCTGCGGCGCGTGGTATGTGAGGAGAGGGCTGTGCCCTGTGCTGCACGCATGTGCATCGGGATGGACCCTTCGCTAGTCACACTTTCAGTCGCCGAGTGCGCAACCTGTGGCGCAACCAAACGCGAGCAGTCCTCGATGTTCGGCTGTCGATTGAGCAACCTCTGCGGTTACCAAATAGCGGGCAGTTTGATTCCTGGCAAACGACGACGACGTCGACGACGACAACGACGAACTGAAATTCACGCCGCGCTGCGCACGTCCACCGCGTCCTCCGCGCGCCACGCCCCCGAGCGGACCAGCGAGTCGGCGTGCCGGAGCACGGGGAGCACCGAGGCGGCGAGCGGCGCCAGGGCGCCGCCCTCGAGGTCCCCCAGGGAGCACCACCTCGGGAGCCCAGGCAGATCGGGGATCAGGGTTTTCAGCTCCTCCTCCTCCTCCTCCTCCTCCTCCTCCTCCTCCTCCTCCTCCTCCTCATCATCATCATCATCATCATCATCATCATCATCATCATCCCTCTCCTCCTCTTTCTCCTCCTACTCCTCCTCCTCCTCCTCCTCCTCCTCCTCCTCCTCCTCCTCCATCATCATCATCATCATCATCACCATCATCATCATCATCATCATCAGCAGCAGCAGCAGCATCATCCTCATCATCATCACCCTCATCATCCTCATCATCCTCATCATCAGCATCATCAGCATCATCAGCAGCATCAGCATAAGCATCACCATCACAATCAGCATCCTCATGAGCAGCATCTTCATCATCATCATCATCATCATCATCATCATCATCATCATCATCATACGCATCATCATCATCATCATCACCATCACCATCATCATCATCATCATCATCATCATCATCATCATCATCATCATCATCATCATCCTCGTCATCATCAGCATCATCATCATCCTCGACCTCGACCTCAATATCATCATCATCATGATCATCATCATCATCCTCCTCCTCCTCCTCCTCCTCCTCCTCCTCCTCCCCTCCTCCTCGTCCTCAGTATCATCAGTATCATCGCCATCATCATGATCATCAGCAGCACCATCAGCATCATCATCAGCATCATCATCATAATTACCACAATCATCAGCATCAGCATCATCATCATCATCGTCATCATCATCATCATCATCATCATCATCATCATCATCATCATCATCATCATCATCATCATCGTCATCAACATCGTCATCGTCATCGTCATCAGTATCATCATCATGTGGTGCCCTCTATGTCCTTTAACAGGTGTCTCATGCCACACTTCCGCAAGTAGGACTCCGCAAAACAAAAACCCGAGGCAGGTTTGAAGAGAAAACGAACTTCGGGAAATAACAGCTTTGCGGCTCAAACTTAGTTCAAACGCTCTCCTCCTCCTCCTTCTCCTCCTCATCATCATCCTCATCCTTCTCATCCTCCTCATCATCCTCATCCTCCTTCTCCCCCTCCTCCTCCTCATTCTCCTCATCCTCCTCATCCTCCATTCCTTTTCCTTATACGTAAGCAGCATCTCCCTGTCGCATCCCGAGGCCAGTGTTTAAGGCTAGCCGGGCGTTTCGCCTGAGACTTCCTCAACAATGATAACTCTGAAGCTTATTAAAATTGACAACAGCTTCACAGATAGAGGGCGGGCCGTTTTCAAAATGTGGCTCTCGCCGTAGCGCCACGCACAATCGCTTTGAAACTTGCAAGAGCTTCACGGAGTAAGAGCGGCCCCTTTTCAACATGTTGCTCTCGCCTTAGCACCGTGCACATTCGTTGGTATAAGTTGCAAGAGTGCAACGGACTCCCATGATCAACGTACCAGAAATGGTGTATCCGAAGGATTCAGGGTTCTGCGGGTGCAACAGTTACGTTGATTCGCGGTTCTGAAATCCCAGGAATGGCGTTCTGGCAAGATTCAGGGTTGACCCGTGGCGTTACAATCCCGAGAACAATATTCTGGCATGCTTCCGGGTCTTCAAACGGTTGTCTTCCAACGAGGGCGTCCCCTCAATGGAAATGAACCGTTGTGGGGTTCTATGAAGAGGGACCTTGGAGGGTTCACTCCCACGTCGTTGATGGCTCTTGGGTTTACACTGGTCCTCCTCCTCCTCCTCCTCCTCCTCCTCCTCCCCCTCCTCCAAATCCTCCTCCTCCTCCACATCCCTCCTCCTCCTCCTCCTCCTCCTCCTCCTCCTCCTCCTCCTCCTCCCCCCTGTTCCTCCGTCTCCTCCTGCTCCTCGTCCTCCTCCTCCTCCTCCTTCTCCTACTCCTCCGCCTCTTCCTCATCCTCCTCCTCCTCCACCACCTCCTCCTCATCCTCCTCTTTCTCCTCCTTCTCCTCCTGCTCCCCCTCCCCCTCCTCCTCATACAGCTCTCTGTTCCTCATAAATAGCTGTTCCCTGTCACATCCCGAGACGTGTCGTTAGGGCGAGGCTTGCGTTTCGCTTGGGATTCCTCACCACTCCTTCCCCTGAAGCTAAAAGCGAATCAGTGTCACGGATGCAGGGCGGGTCGTGTTCAGAATGCGGCTCTCGCCGCAGCTCCGCACACATCCGTCCGAAAAGTGTGCCAGAGCTTCACGGATGGGGGCCGGGTCGCTGTCAGAGCGCGTCTCTCGCCTTCGCGCCGCGCTCGTTCGTCTGAAAAGCTTGCATGGGGCTTCAAGGGTGGGGGGGCGGGTGGTTTTCGCCTTCGAGAGGTGGCTCTCGCCGTAGGACCGCGCATATTATTCTCAAGAGCTCGCAAAAATTTCGCGGATGGCGGGAGGGTCCTTTTCAACATGTGGCTCTCGCCATAGCGCCGCGCACAGTCTTCAAATACTGCAAGGGTTGAACGGATGGAGGGCGGCTTCTTTTCAAAATGTGACTCTCGACGCAGCGCCGCGCACATTCGTCTGAAGAGTGTTCAAGAGCTTCGCGCATGGAGGGCGAGACATGTTCAAAATGTGGCTCTCGGGAGGCCACATTTTGGGAGGCCTGCGGGAGTTTTCGGGGATGCTCGGCAGAGGTCTCAACAAGTGTTTTCATGGCTGCCCTCGCGGCATTGCAGCAGGACCAAGCTCTCGGGAAGCGGGTCGGGACGATGCCAGGGAGGGGCCCTGGGTCCAGACCTCCAACGTCGTGATCTGTTCAATCCCGCCCGGGCGCGAAGGGAAAAACATGCCTCAAGCAACGCTTGGCGCGGGATCAGGGACAAAAACGCGGGCAGCAGGAATAGGAGGGAGGAGGACGAGGAAGAATGTTGCCATGCGTGGTGCTGCAACTGTCAGCTACCAGGGCGACTGGGCTCCCAAAATCTGGCCCACAGGGATACACGTCGTTCATTTCAAATCGCGTTCATTTCTAATTGTGCTCGTTTCTAATTGTTCCTGGCCCCCTAGTGGCCAGGAAGAGGCCAAGAATAGAACAATTAGAATGAAAGGATCTTGGCCCCCCAAAAAAATCAAGAATTTTCGAAGAATTAGATATGAACAATGTGCACGTGTCAGAGCCGGGGGGGGCTCTGGGCTCCGGGGGCGGGCGAGGGGCCGTCTGAGGGCGCCGCGGGTCGCGTCGGCCGAAGAGGGGACCCAGAGGCTCCAAAGTTGCTCGGAGGCGGTGCGAAGACGGCCACGAGAGAGCACAAAGAGAACCCCACCTGACCCAGGACAGTCAAAAACCTGAGGAATGCCTGAGCCTGAATCGAAAACGGCTCCAAGAGGGCATGGGAGACACCGATGAGCACGTAGAGGGGGGCCCGGAAAGGCCCCGGGTAGCCCCAAATCCTCCTGTCGGGAGATCTCTGGGCTCTGCGGGGGTGATCGAGGAGCCGTCTCAACGGGCTATGGGACGCGTCAGAGGGCTGCCAGACAGTCGTGGAACCTCTTGGACGCATGTTGCGGGGTCCGTCTAAGGGGTATAACCGTGGGGCCATTTAGGAATCGTCTTGGGCCAAGATTGGCCCATGCTGTTCTGGACGGGGCATTCACTGGACATTTCCTCGTATTCGATGGCCAGATCCCTGCAATTGTGCAACTGCGAACTACAAGGATGAAGGACGGACTAGGCTATCAATTGATACGTCCTTGAGCTATTTGGCTCTCCCTACTTTCATGTCATGATGAAGGGCTAATCCTTTTCAGAACGGGGCCTTGGCCTGCATCGCAAACTCAAGGGGTGCCTGCCGCTTCAGGAGGCGCTTCCCGCAATGAAAAGGACTGCGTGCGGGGACTTACGAGGAGGGGATTTGGGACGGGAGGGTATGTTGCAGCATCGTTCGTGAATCCTGGGTTTACTCTGATATTTTCCTCCTCCTCCTCCTCCTCCTCCTCCTCCTCCTCCTCCTCGTCTTCCTTCATCCTCCAGATCCTCCTGCCCCTCCTCCACCTTATCGTCTTCCCTCGTCTGCAGGCCCTCGTGGCCGCAGCTGGGCTCCCCCGGAGATTCTGGCCTGGACGCACCCCAGGCCTGGGACAGGGGCGACAGCGTTCGACGCGTGCTTCGGACGCTCCGACCTCATCACGGGCCCCCTCCAGCAGGAACTGACCAGAACGCCTCCCGCGCGGTGAAGATTGGGAGTCATCCTGGAACGACTTGGGGGACCGCTGGGCGTCTTGGAGGGATCTCGGGCGATGTTGAGGTCATCGTGGGCTTCTCTAGGCCGTCTCAGGAGCCTCCTGGGGCCGTCGCAGGGCCATATGCAGCCCCACTTGGGCCGTCTTCGGGCCCGCGTGGGCCGTCTTGAGCTCTTCCAGAAGCTTTCCGGGAGCACGTCTTTGGGCTCTCTTTGGCTGTTGTGGGCGCCTCTTGGGGTCCTCCCGAATCCATTTCTAGACAATCACGGAAGAAGATTGAAAGCATTTTGGGCCGATCAGGACACTCTGAGCAGCAAGCAAGCAAGAGCCCTAAACTCATCGACAAAAAAAACAGGGGGATGAATGAATGTTGTCTCTAGAGGGCTTCCCAAGGGTCCTGTTGAGGCCCTCTGGGCTGGCCTAGGGGGCCTCTTGGCAGCAAGGTGCAACTGTCTTGAGCCGTCTTGGAGGCAGCGAAGCTGCACTTCGGGCCCCTGATCGCTTACACGTGCCCTCTTCGGGATTCCTGGTGCTATGGGCCCCCAAAAAACTGTCTTGAGAGGCCGGGGAGAGGCCTGGGAGGCCCCTGACTCAAATGAAAGGTTCGATGTTTCGGAATTGGGACCCCACGATCGGTTGATCGGAAATGTGTAAAAAAAGCAGGTTCAAGCAAGGAAAAGGCCAGATTCCTGGGAACGACGGATTGGAACCATTCATGACGTCGGAGGTGAGGCTTCCCAGAATCTCTCGTCGCCAAAGCTGGGCTCGGCTCGGAAAGCGGACCGGTGACCAGGATGGGCCTGTGGACTAATCTCGAGCGGATCATTGGGCACACTGCACACCACCTACGGGGGGGACCTTTGACGAATTGGCAATGTGTGGGCCTCTTGGCGGGGCCAGTCCTGGCCCGAGGACCGGTGTCTAGGCCCTCGTGGCCTGGCCAGCGACCCTGGGACCAGGATCGGCCTGGCCAGCTTCGGCGACGGTGTATCCTTCGGCGGCGAGGGGGGGGGGGAAGTGAGAAGGAGATAGCCTTCTCGAAAGGTGGCGGGACTTCTCAGAAGCCCTCGCGAGTTCTGAGACGTCTTCTGTGTCTTCGGGGAAGGCTTAGCAAACTTCTCAGCCTCGTCTCTTCCCGACCACCTGATCTCCAACGCATCATCCCCTGGCGCCGCCCGCGCGGAGGGGTCGGTGCAGAATGCGAGCACATGCGAGAGGACGTAGTGGAACTCCAGCGGATGCGCGTCGCCCGCCTGCCAGCCGCGCGGGTAGATAGCGTCGGTTACCCCAGTGGCCCACGGGTGCACCCGCAGCCCAGACTCCGCTGCGAGACCGGTCTCCTCGGCGAGCTCTCTGGCCGCCGCCTCGAGCACCGTCTCCCCGAGCTCGATCTTGCCGCCAGGCAGCATCCAGCAGCCCTTGCTGGGCTCGTGGGCCCGCTTCGCCAGGAGGTACTCCATGGCCCCACCGCCTCCGGGCCGCTGCCGGCAGACGGTGACGGCGACGGCCGCGCGGGGGTACACGGGCGGTCCAGTAGCGGCGCTCGACGAGCTGGCGCTGGCCCGGCCACGCCAGCGTGGGCGCGCCACCGACGGGCCAGCCACGCCCCACCCATCGCGGCGGGGTCGCGCCACCGGCCTCAGAAGGGTCAGCACCAGCGCCACGGCGCGGTGCGCGCCCTGGGCGCTGCGCAGGGCTGCTGGCCCCGCCATGCCAGCAAGAGGGGCGACTCGAGAAGAAAGATACGGGCCACTCCTCACTCCGCCACCTCTGCCAAGGCCCTCTCGTTCCTCTTCGTCCTGGTGTCGACGATACAGCGCTGGCGGCCTTCGGTTCTCCATGAGATGCGGCCAGACACGCCCCGCGGCGCGCGCGAGCACGACACGAGGACGACGGCGAGAACGACAGGACAGCGACGACCAAAAATGACAAGCGATGGCACCGCTTCGTCCTCTTCCTCTGCAGAATCTGACGGGCGTACCTGAAGCAACCTGCCTGGAGCCCCCATACAATAACTTCAATCTCGTCGGCCATTGCGCTAGCGGCTCCGAGCTCGATCCCGAAAGGGCATGGCCAAACTCGGCCCCTCCCGCGGGCAAGGATCCCAACCATGTGCCTGTCATGGCTTTTCAGAAAACCTGCTGTTGAATCGACTGCCCACCCCCTCCACTCCTCTGGACAGCCTGCTCCTTGAAGGGATACGGATGCCGATTAGGAGAATCCCGCGACGCGACCGTTCAATCGGACCAGGCAAAACAAGCATAGGAGCAGACACCCAATGAGGGATCAAAGAGGCAAAACAAAGCAGAGAAGCATGCGGCATTCAGTGCCAAGACGCACCTCGAAGCAACCACTCGATGCAAGGCGAAACTAAACATGTGTGCAAGCGTGGACCCCAAACAGTGGCCCATTGCACTTTGGATGGGTGGACTATGTGGTGCAAGCGATGTAGTGTAAGGTTAGTGGGCAATACATGTGGTGCACGCTATGTGGTGCAAGCTACGCGGCGCTAGCTATGTAGTGAAAGCAAAGTGGCACAAGCTATGTGATATAAGCTATGCGACGACGCTCATACATGCAAGCTCTGTGGCGTAACACGTGCGGTGTAAGAACGCTGTGCAAGCTCTGTGGTGCAAGCGATGTGATGGCAGATGTCTGATAAGGCCTAAGTTGCGCAAGCTATGTGGTACAATGTATGCCGCTGGCATCCGCGAATGACCACCTCCAAGGCTCGTGCAAACATCCCACCCACACGCCCACAACATCCTGTCAAAGTTCAACTGGCGTAACAACGCGTGGGCCCTTCTCGTGCAGATCCATGACTCGGGCAGGCGGGTGCGGATGATGATCATGGCGATGATGACCCGACGACAAGGGCCATGAGAATAACAATGGCGATGACTATGGCGATGACAATGAGGATGCTGATGGTGATGATGACAGTGGTGATGGTGATGATGGTGACGATGATGACGAGAAGGAGGAGGGAGAGGAGGAAAGGGAGGACCAGTGTAACCCCAAGGCACGTCAACGACGTTGCAACGAACATTCCTCCCAAGTTCCATTTTTTGGTGTCACTACAAGTAATCCTCTGGGAAGGGAGATGCATCGCCAGGACCAGGAAACAAAAACACGCACGAAACGACAGTCTTAGATTGCAACGTTGGTCGGACTCGGACGTCCCGAGTTCCTCCTTTGCAAATCCTAGATTGTGCGAAAACCCATTCCTGGGGTACTAGCGCCGCGAATCAACGCGAATGCTGCACCCTGGCAATCCTGAACCCTGCAAAACACACCATTCCTGGGACTGCAACACCGCGAATACCCATGGCTGTTGCCGCCTGACAACCCGAACTCGCGCAAGAACGCCATTCCTGTGATTTCATCAACCCTGCGTGCCCTCGAGTCCATGGGGCAGCTGCCAACGTGTCAAAGGAATGTGCTCGGCGGCAGAGCGAACGCCACATGTTGAGCAGGTGCTGGGCACCTGTCCTCCAGAATGCAACAAGCTTGTAGAACGAATGCGCGCGGCGCTGAGGCGAGAGCTCCATTTTGAAAACGGCGGGCCCTCGATCCTTGAAACGAACGCGGAGATTTAACACGAATGTGCGCGGCGCTGGGGCAAAAGGCACAGTCTAACAACGAATCGCCCTCCATCCGTGGAACGGCTGCAACTGCCAAGCTTCATGATCAAAAACGCTTGGCAAAGAAATGGTAAGCGAAACGCCCAGCCCGACGTGCGGACACGCCTGAGGGCGCAACGAGGATGAGTTGTGTTGCTTCACAAACTTGGATGGGGAATGGTGGTGGTGAGTACGACGAGAGTGATGGCGACGATACGGATGGTGGTGATGACGCCGATGATACTGATGATGTTGATGATGATGATGGTGATGATACGATGGCAATGATGATAGTAATGATGGTGATGGCGATGCTGATGATGAAGACCATGATGATGCTGATGATGATGATGATGCTGGTGGTGATGCTGATAATCATGCCGATAACTATGATGGTGATAATGATGATGAGGATTGTGACGATGATGATGATGCTAATGACGGTGGTGGTGATGCCGATGAATGGGAAGATGAGGATATGGATGAGGATGATAATGTTGATGCTGATGCTGGTGGCACTGATGATGAGTGCGATGGTGATGACATTGAGAATGATGTTGGTGGTGATCATGGTGGTGATGATGTTGGTGACGATGTGGATTGTGCTGATAATGATCATGATGACTATGACGACGATGATGATGCAGACGAGAACGATAGTGATGATGATAATGAGGACGATGCTGAATATGGTGATGATGGTGATGGTTCGTAATGGTAATGATGATGACGATGATGATGATGATGATGATGATGGCAATGGTAATGAAGACGCTCATGGTGATGATGGTGATGATGGTGATGATGGTAAAGATGGTGGTGATGGTGCTGGTGATCCTGATGATGATGCTGATGATGATTCTGGATGTGTTGATGCTGATGGTAATGAGGATGGTGAAACAGATGATGACAACGACGGTGGCAAAGGCGACGCTGGTGATGATAACACGCATGTATCGGGTGGCGACGACGACGATGGCAACGACGACGACGACGACTGTTCCGATGATGATGGCGGCGATTGGGACGATGGCGACTACATCGGCGTTGGTAGTGAAGATGACGGTGATCACGACGGCAAAGATAACGCTGGCGATGATGATAACGATGGCGCTGACAATGATGATGGAACAGCGCGCGCAGAAACTTTGAACATCTCAAAGATTCCCTCAGGTCAACCACAAGGTATTCACATGCGTTTGAACACATCTGTGGCATAAGAAAAAGCATGGACGCGGAAGAATTTCGACATGCGCGCGCGGGTGGCAACAGCGGCATTACTAGTTGCAATAACTTGCGGGTGCGCGATGATTGTGGGACGCTTTCGACATGCGCGCGCGTAGCCCACGCGACCTCGGTCGGTTGAATGGCAAAACACCAGCGAATACGCGCGCAGAAAACGAGCAACTTGTCGACACAAGCCTGAGAACCGAAAACCACTAAAATGTCCTTACCAGGGGTAATCTATTGATTTCGGCATTCGCGCGCGAGGGCGCGCGCATCTGACCTGCATGGTATAGTCCGATTGGGATTACGACTCTTATAGATGACAATTTCAATCTGACCAAACATGTTTGATTAACGCGCGCGCACACAACGTTATGCTGTTTGGCAGCGGCGGGGCAAAGGAGGCATGCGACACCGCGTTGGCGCTGACACGGTGCTGTTCGGAGGAAAACTGAAAAGTGAGCCGGGGCGACCGGCTGATTCTGGCGTTCTCTGGGGGGGGGGGGCAACAGAAAGAGGCAGGTGCTGCCCCCAAGCGCCGAGAATGTGTGCGAATACTGCCGGGCGCACTGGAATGGAGAACCAGCGTATGCTTTGGAGGGGGGGTGAACAATAGTTGTTGGTATAGAAATGAAAACGCAAGCACAATAACAACACCAATCACTTCAAGACGGTTTGCTTTCATATGCCCGCGGGCAACTTAACACGTATATCCCAAACCCTGGACACCCGCCCTTCTCGTTTTTGCAGGCGACGCGGCCAGGCAAAGGGCGCCCACCAAGCGCCCAGGGGCGCGCGCCAGGCGCGAAGCGGGCGCGCCCGCCCCGCGCACGGAGCGCCCACGAGGCGCCCGCGAGCGGCCACGGGCGGGCGCCAGGCGGGGCCTCGGCGCACCCCCGAGCGCGAGGCGTCCACGAGGCGCCCCTGGGCGGCGGCCCCAGGCGAGTCCCCGACGGCCCCGTCAAAGTTCCCCCCCAAAAGAGCGCACCTCTTCCGGTCGCAGCTGAGCGGGCCGCGCGAAGCTTGAATTAACAAAGAGGGGGGGAGAACCCCAGGCGCAACCCCCTCCTTGTGGCTCTGGTGGAACTCCCATTTGGGCCACGAAACGTGTGAAACATATGGAAGGAAGGCCAAAACCCTCTCCTCAGGGCATTGGTGGAGCTTCGTTTGAGGCCAAGCAACGCGCGAGGAATGCAGAGAACCAAGAGTAAAACTCCCGCCTTGTGGCTTCGGCGGAGTTCCCCGTGGAGCCGCGAAGCGCGCGAGAGATGTGGGGCACCACATGCAAAAAGAACAGGTTGATTGTTATCGTGTTCTGGTGGGGGCCCCCTTCGCGGCCACGAAGCGTGAGGAACACGTGGAGAAGCACAGGCAGAAGTCCCTCCTGGAGGCTGCGGTGGAGCTCCCGGTGGGGCCTCGGAACTTTTGTGAGGCGTGCGCCCCCGCCCCACGCTCACCGTGGGCGCGCGGAGGGGAGGGCTGCCCTGGCGGCCTCGAGGGGGGACGCGGCCTTTTTGGCTGAGGGAGAGAGAGAGAGAGAGAGAGAGAGAACAAAAAACAAAAAAAAAGAGAGAGAGAGAGAGAACAAAAAAAAAAGAGAGAGTGAGAAACAAAAAAGCGATAGAGAGAGAGAGATCGAGAAAGAGAGAGAGAGAGAGAGACAAGCAAAGAAGAGAGAGAGGGGGAACCAACAAAAAAACAAAGAAAAAACAAACAACGGATGGTTTGGGAGAACCCCCGAAGCCCCCACTGGGACCACAAAGCGGGTGACCGGTGCGGAGAACCACGTGCACACCCCTTCCTCGGCGCTGTGAAGGAGCTCCCTGTCGGGCCACGAATCATAGGAGAGGCGCGGAGAACCA